GTTGGTCTTTTGTTTTTTTTTTCCCCCAGACACGAACAAATTTCTAATTAATTATCAGATAGGCACGTTTGCATGAGAATAAAGTATGTACATGCAATGTTTCTTGCCTTTGATCAATTATTTCAGTGCGCCGACACATATATAACTATTCTCAATCAGATAGTGAGGTGATGATTTAGAAAGAAAAAAAATGAGGGGTAGTTAACTACATCTCAAAGACTCAAACTTAATTAAAATTACTTAAAAAATATAAAAATTCGTGATTCATAATTACTTTAATTCAAAGACTAACACTTGATATCATGTTTCGAGGGCTTAATATATATATATATATATATATAATTTCAAAAAAAATTATTACCAAATCTAAGAATTTAGTAACAGTAAATCAAAAAATATATTACCAAATTAAATTAAATTTACAAACGTAAACTTGGTAAAATTACATTAAAGTTATTTAATGTGATTTATGAAATTTAATTATTTTTAAATTATTATTAAAGACAATTTTTTTAAATTTTGAAATGTGCTATAAAATTTTATGAAATTTATTATCAAAATCATTTAATTTTCCTAAAATTTTATAATGAGCCATCAAAACTTATGATTATTTTTGGTCTTTAACAATGATTAAAATTTTTAAAATAGAAAAATATAACTTTTAGTCCATGAATTTATTCATAATTATCAATTAATTCTTGAACTTTGAATTGAAATAATTCAATCCCTATGAATTTTTTTTTCCCGGAATAACTTGGTCTTTATAATTTTTTGACTTCTCAATAATACTGAATCCTTATAATTTCTTAATTTAATTAACTATAAGGATTGAATTATATTGAATCAAAGTTCAATGACTAAATTGATAATTATGAGAAAAATTAAGAATTAAAAGTTATATTATTGCTTTTAAAATTTTTTGACATAAGGTTTGTCAAATTCAAGTTTCTTTTTAAATAACGTTTCTTTTTTGAGAAGCCTGCATAAGCGACAACAAGGGTAATTTGTAAGAAGTAACTTTTGATCATTTTAATTACCTTGGTTTTCAAATTAAAATTAACTGTCTTTGCTTTGCTTTGATTTAAAAGAGTCGGTTTCCAATGTTTTACCAAAAAAAAAAAATTGAATAAGTCTTGTATATATAGTTCAAACAATTTTTAAAAATATACTTACTAATAATTTATGAGTAAATAAGCAAATTATTTCCTAAACTTTATATCTAATAGCACTATAGACCTTAAATTTATTTATCGTGTAAATTATTTTTTTAATTTTTAAAAATAGTGCAATATAGCTTCTGCTATCAACAAAAGTTTATTTTGATTGTTATTTGATCAAAAACTAATAAAAATGGACTCAAAAACTATAGAAAAAGGATCAAAAAATTATAGACAATGACCCAACAATTATCTAAAAGGACCAAAAAATTTTGTTGTTCATTTTTTATAATTTTTAGATCAATTTCTATCATTTTTTGATCAACTAATGGTTAAAGTTAACTTTAATTAATGATAGGGACTATATTGTACTGTTTTCAGAAGTTAAAGGAACAATTTGCACAATAAATTAAATGAGTTTAGGATCTATGGTGTTCCTAAACTTAAAGTTTAGAAAGTAATTTATTCATTCTATAATTTAATTACTAATTTAACAAGGTGCTAATGTCGGTGAAATTTGAACTCATGTTTAAGTTAGACATTAGTCTTATTTTCACCAGTGAGGCTAACTTTTATTGGCAGTTATTTTTCACTCTTGTTTGCATCAAAAACTCCAAATGCAAAACTCTATCGTAATAAAAGTAATGAGGCTAGCAACTAAACTATAAAAGCACACTTACTATACTTCACCTACATTGACAAAGTGATGTTATAAATACATATCCTGCACTCTCACATGGCAATAGTGCTCTCTTATCTTCAAACATGAACCCGTGAACCCCCCTTCTTTCTCGACACACACACATTCAAATATGTGATGATAGGAACATGTGAATGGGAACAAAACTTATATATATAAATATATATATTGTGTTTGAGTCATTTATTAAGCATTGTGACAGACTCTTCTGATTTGGAATAAAAGTGATTTGTCATGGAACTGTGTGTGTGTGTGTAAACATGATGTGTCTTGCTTTTTGTTTCTTTCATTCATCTTCACTTTTTAGCCTGGAGATAGGTGCATGCATGCATGTATTAGGTTTTGGAAGCTTATGAAGTTTTTTTGGAAAAACAAAATTTAATTAATTATTATAAGATAGGAATCTTATCTTAGTTTAGGATATATAGCTTGAGTGGCTCTCTTTAAGATTGAAATTATTCAATCGTTTAAAACTATTTATAATTATGTCAGTTAACTTATATATGTAGAGATTACCTGACTCTCAATTGGTGTCCAGAATAAAAGATGACAAAAGAAAAAAAATGATAGTTCAAACCAATCAGAAAATATGTATTGCTTGGGAAATTGAACGTGTAGCTTCTTCCTTTTCTTCTCATTTTTGGCATAGAGGTTGGTATTTTTTTAAAAAAATATTAATAGCCATAGGAAAAATATGTAGTTATAAATAATTAAATACAGATGCATTGAAAAGGTGAAACGGACAAAAAATATGAAACAAATACAAAGAAAGACGTGTGTATATATTACAATAGAAAAGCGAAACCAACGCAAATATTGAAATCTGCATTATTTCCTTTTATTAAGTATGATGATGAATGTCTAAAAATTTCTTGATTTTATTTTCATTTATTAGGAGAAATTTTTGTTTTATGTGAGTTGGTGAGTCTCCTTAATTTAAATGAAGTGAGGTTGCTTTAATAATTTGTATACAATTAATTTAACCATCCCTCTACATCTTAATAATAAGGGAGATGATCAATAAAAATATAGAAAGTATATTACATCAATATTATGAGTAAATTTAACCAACCAATTAGCACATTTATTGATTTCAAGGTATCATATTATACATGATCATGACTAATATTTCAATTATTATTTTTTGCAAGGAGGTCTCCAATTTTCTTATTTATCATGTTGTTAGGCACAAGTTATCCTATATATATTGTTATCTATGTTAATCATATTGACAACTTCTACAACATTGGATGCAATCACAATTTTATGAAAACCACAATTCCAACAAATTTTAAGACCTTCAAGAATAAGTATAGCCTCACTTTATGATTGATATAACGATCCACATTTAGATGAACCAATTAACCTTTGAGGGAGCCCAACTATATATCGATAATTGTTAAGAAATCATTTTTAATTCTAAAGACACCAAGATATGTTCCGCAGCTTGTGGAGGGCTCATTAGGGATGACAAGAGTAATTGAATTAAATGTTTCACTAAAAACTTAGTTACCAACACATCACAATTGCTGAGCTTATCGGGATTCTAGAAGGCCTAATCATTTGTTGGAATGCTAAAGTTCCTAGACTTAATATTTGTACCAACTCAATGGAGGCCATATCACTCATTAATGGCAACCTAATTAGGCTCATTTGCTTTTAACTATCATCAAAAGCATTAAAAATCTCATCATGAGGAACTGGAAGGTCACCCTAGATCATGTCTATAGAGAAACAAATCGTTGTGCCTATCTCCTAACTCATAAGGCCTCTAGCGATCACTTTGATACTACGTTACTTGATGACGCTCCTAATGATTGTAGAAGCATTTTGATTTTTGACATGACCTGATTTGATCCTTTTGCACGATATTTTATCGTGACCTTGTATTGAAAAAAAAGACACCAAGATATTGGGTAAATATCCTTTTCAGAAATATCTCCTCATTGTAAATTTTCTTGAGTTATGATTAGCATTTCTAACAAAGATTATTCCTGTTGGTAAGAATATGATTCATACCCTATAATAAGGTGTAGATTTAAACACTATTGTTAGTTAATATCTGGGTTCGATTTTATTGATAGATAATTGTAAGCACATTTGTACATATACCTTAAGTGGTAGAGTCTTCCTTGGTCCTAATTTGTGATCCAAAGAGAGAAGAAATCATAAACATAGAATGTTTAACCAAAGGCAAAAGAAAAGGAGTGAAAGGAAGAGCTTTGATCTATGGGGAAACCCAAGAATGCATAATTCATAGAGTGTAGTAAAGCTGTGCTTCCCTTTAGTTTTAGTTCAATCAAAGACTCATGAGTGTTATGCAGAAGGCATGCATATGAACCAATTAATGAATGGATTAAAAATTCCAAAGTTTTGAAGACAAATGTCACAAATTTTCACTTTCTTTTCCCAGATTTTCAACCCACCAAAGCAACAAGCACTGGCCCACCTTTGATCTCTTTTCCTTAGTCCCAGTAGACGCCATTTTACACTCATTTCTTCCTGCTTTTTTTTTTTTAAATGTCAAGATGCATTCAAGATATTCATGTTTATTGGTATTCATTTATCATATTAGACAATTCTTTATACTACTAAAACACTACACACACTCCATTAATATTTTAACTTTGTCTTCTATTTTTATACCAAATCTGGTAATTTTGAAGAGTACTTATACATTGGCAAGAAACCAAAAGAAAAACATATATCTTTTGGCCAAATAAAATAAACTAGATGGAGCTTATGTATCATATGAAATTTAATGAATGAATATCACTATTTAAGACTCGTGTAATTTAAGTAAAAGTTAAATACAATTTAAGATAATATTTTATTTTATGAGATATATGTATAAATTATAAAAAGGAATTTCATATATAATATTAACAAAATTTAAAAAAAAAATGTAGTTTGCCCTAAATTAAAATATCATGACATATTATCATTTGACATTGATCTCACACCACAAGGATTGATCACATCACACTTGCCTAATTTTGGAGCGAACATGAACATGGGGTAACATGCACTACGCAAACAAACCCATCTTTTATTTTTCCCTTTAGTCACTCTCAAGATTGCAATAACCATTTTAGAAAAGCATATACACTATATATATAGCCATGGCCACCCCACATAATGTCTATGTCACACTCTTCACACTTCATCACTTTCTCTCACTTTCTCTTTAGTTGCCTTCTCTCTTTCAGGATCTCTCTGGTTCAGCAGCCATGGATTGGTTCTCATGGCTTTCAAAAACAAGCCTTGACCCCTCTCTGGTCTATGAATATGGCGTCGTTTTTGCTCACAATGAGCTTGAACAAGAAGACATAGTTTACTTCAACCATGAGTTTCTTCAGAGCATGGGAATCTCCATAGCCAAGCACAGGCTTGAAATTCTCAAGCTTGCAAAGAAGGAAAAGCCCAGAAGCTCAAATCCAGTAGTGTCAAGGCTCATAGGGACGATCAAGAAGACCAAGAAGTGTTTATCCAATTACATTCATTCTCTGATTCATAGAGAAAAATCTGCCCTTGTGGTGGTCCCTACTAAGCCAACAAGTGATCAGGAAACAAGGTGGAAGAGTAGTATGGTGAAGAGAAGCAGAAGTAAGAAGCTGATAGTGAATAGTAATTATAAGCAAGAGAGGCTTCTTCTCACTAATGGAAATTCTGCAGTAGTTCCTACTTTACCTGTTCTTGATGGGTTTTCAATTTCTAGCCCAAAGGTGAAGAATTTGCAGAAGGAAATGAAAAAGGCTGACGAAGATGATGATGGTGATGGTGATGGGTATTGGTCAGCTGCTCTTGAAGAGATCAGGTGGGATGCTATGTTTCAGGATCTAAAGCCAAACTGAAATCAAGTTTCTTTCCTTTTCCTTTTTCTTTGGGATTTTCCATATCAGCAGAGAGATTTGAGTTCATTTCTCTCTCTCACTCACTCTCACTCTCTCTTTTGCTCTAGTGGTCAGATAGGTAACTTTAGCATCTGTCTGATTCTGTAACTAAATTGTGTCTCTTTTGCTTTTGCATGTTCAACAGTGGAAAATTTGCCGTAAGATTTGGATGATTTCCAAAGTTTATAGTTCCAGGAACAAATGAAACAGTTTGGATTAGCTTTTTGCTTGAATTATTATTTCATTGTGATTGTAAACATATTTGCAGAGTATATTTACTGTTTAGTGCTTCTTTATCATTCACATCTTACAATTCTGGAATAGACACTGGAGGATTGGGATTACATAAATGGTAAGAGACATTGAACAACCTTACTTTTTTAATTTAATGAAATTTTAGTACTTTTCAAAATTGCAGAAACATTCTGATATGTCAGACAGATACAGAAGCGTAAATGCTAAGAATAAATTTGCTTGTGAATGTGAGAATACGTTAACAATTGTAAACAGGGTCTCATTTTTTTGGGTCAATAATATGTTGCTGAGCATTAAAGTGTAGCTTCAGCTTTCAGATTCAAATTACCACTACAGAAACATACCTTATTTCTAAGAAAAGTCAGATTAAATGTGGCAACACAGTTCATAGAAAATTGCAGTCTAAATTAACTGCTCAACTAGTCAACAAAGAAAAGGCACTCTACATGCTTTTGTATCTTCTCTTATATCAAGTCTTCTTTTCCAAGATCTGAGTTGAAAGGTTGCATGAGCAAGAAAGTAAATGGTTTGCTTTATGACCTATAAATAAAGTAAATACCATGAATAGTAATATATGATAGTATAACTATCTATAAATCAAGAGCTTATAGCTCAAGAGACATTCCAGAATCAAAGTGTGTGTGACCCCGGTAATCTGGGAAAAAGGGAAATGACATTAAAGGATCAAAATATTGAATTAAATTTAAATAAAGATCAAATAATTTGGAAATCTGAAATGAGAATCAAAGGTCCTTATATAAATATTGAATTGGTTTAAAATGTTGCTACTCTCATTCCATGAATTTCAAGCACCAAAATGAGAATTTGCAAGTGAAATTTATTAATTTGTAAAGGGACACCCCTTCTAGTGATTTGTACCCTCATACTCTTAATTGCAGCCCTCAAAACAATAATTAACAAGTAAAATTCATTAATCTGTAAAGAAAAACAATTTTTGAGTAATAGTATACTTGACAAGTTTTTTTTATATATATAAATTAGCGAATGTCACTTGCAAATTTGTTTGGAGGGCTCCAAATCATGAAATGGGAGCAGCAAACTTTTAAACCAATTCACTAAACAACCTTTGGTGCTTATTTTTTCATTTTTTAAGTATTTTAATCCTTCATTATTTAAGTTTAATTCAATTTTTGTCCTTTAATGCAATTCCCCTTTCTTAAAAAATTGAAATTTATGAGAGGAATGGTGCTGAGGAGGAAGAGAATCCATTTTGTACACCTGGGCTCAAATAGATTAGTCCACTTGCTCTAATTTAATGGGTTCAATCAAAGCCCCATGGAGACAATGAAGGAAAGCTCCATTCTTTCTAAAGGCAAAAGAGAAGTTTATACCACCAAAAAAAAAAAAAAAAAAAGAGAGAGAAGTTTATACCCAAAAAAAAAAAAACAGAGAGAGAGAAGTTAGTCACAACACAATCTCAATTTTTTTTTTTTAAAAAAATGTATACATGCTAAGAAAATATGGAAACTTAGTTTATGAATAAAAATGATTTTCTTTTCAATTCTTCCCTCAATTAAATGTCACTACTGGAAAGTGCATTCTTTTTAAGACAGGTGATTTTGATCCTCTATAAGAGTTATGTTTAGCAAAAAATCTTTAATTACACCTATAGCAATGAGAAATAAAAGAGATTGAAATCTTATGCCTATAATTAAAATAAATCTTAACTAGCTTTTATGTTTAAGAAACATAGCAAAAATTCATAAAGAATTCAATTCAAATCCTGAGGTAAGATCACAAATTTGTCATTTTTCTCGATTAATTTAATAAGGTTTCAATTTTGTTTCTCTGTGTTTCCCATGGATTCTGTTTCAGTCTAACTCCAAAAAATTATGGAGAAATCAAAGATGACGGAATAACAACGGCCTCTAATTAAAAACTAGGAGTACTAATTAATAACTTTTTTAAAACAAAATTTTGACCAAATCAATGCTCGTTTAGATTTGTTTTCCTTTTTTGAATTTAAAATCATCTTGAAATGATTATAAATCGCAACGTATTAAATATAAATTAATTTATCACCAATTCAATTTTAGTTTTTCCCCGTTTTTTTCTTCTTTTTTTTTAGCCTAATTCAATTCCTTCATTTTAAAAAGGCTAAATCATACACTACTCTCTTGAACTTTGAACTATATACATATAACTTTCTTAATTTTTGAAGCTGTACAATGAACTCCCTCAACTCTTATATGTATGTAAATAACTTTGTATGATTAATTTTATATATTAATTATTTACACATAACTTAAAATTTAGGAAGGTTATCCATATATAAATCAAAGTTTGAGTGGCTCAAATGCACACAAAAATAAAATTTAAGTGGTATATAATTAATGGTTAGATGTTATTTGTATAAACTTGAAAGTTCAATGAAGTTTATTATTAAGTTTCAAAAGTTAAAAAGATTACTAATATATAGTTTAAAGTTTACGGGAATTTTGTATAATTTAGTTTTTGTTAAAAACAAAATATTATGAAGAAATCAAAAGATCTCAGAGTAATACCTCTCTATAGTCAACGGTTTTTTCAATTAACAAGCACTAATTAATCTTGTTGAAATTTTTTTGAGAAAATTCATATTCTATAAGATTTACCTTCCCTTTTATTTTGCAATAACTAAAATCGTAACAGCATATCGCAACAACATAAATAATTACGGGATTAAAAGATTCCAAAGGGTTTGAAAATCTTGGCATGCAAATATAAAAATCAAGATCAAGATATTCATGAACATTCATTCCCATTTCCTCTATTGGTTTGTGCTACATCAAAAACTATGACTTCTAAAATTAGTGATGAAAATGGGTTGATTTCTCAAGATCAGTCTGAAGATAATAAGAAGACTAATGAGCGAAGTTCAACTATTATTAAGTGGGAAGCACCAATAGGGAATTGGATAAAAATAAATACAAGCTGTGCCTTTTCTGATGAACAAGGAATTGCATCAATATGTTTTGCAGTGAGAGATTCAAATGCATGGCTTTTGGATGGATGGAATTGTAGGCTCAACGTTGAGTCACCTTTGCAAGCTGAGATTAAAGTTATGGAATCTGCAATAAGCTATGCGATCGAGAATGAACTTGATGAGGTAATTTTTGAATCGGATAATGAAATTTTGATTGATTCTATTATTAAAGAAAAGACCCCACCTGAATGGGGTTGTGATACATTGCTTGAAAATATTCAAGCTTTGAGAATAATATTAGGAATCATAAATTTCTTTGGCTTCCCAAAGAAGCAAATTTGGTAGCTGATTGGATGGCTAAGGTTTCTTTAAATGAGCCACGTCATGTGGATTGGATCCTCGGTCCTCCCAGTTTTGTGCAAGATCTTATAATGAAGGATTACTTAGAGATTGCTCAAAGATTAAGAAGATGAATGATTAGTTGTTTTTATGTTTTCTTTTGCAGTTTTATTTTTTGGAACTCTTTTACGTTCTTGGTTTGTTTTCATGATGTCTCCTTTTGCTATTTTGTTGTTTGAGACCCTACTTCTTTGTTTCATATTTTTATTCAGTAATGAAATCTCTTATTCGAGTAAGAAAAATAGATTTGAAAATCACAATATTAAGATGAGATTACAAGATTGAAGAATCTATCAACCTAGTACTTTGAATATATTTTTATTTTGAATATACTTATTTTTATCTTCTGAGAGAAAATATATTTATTAAATTATATATATTTAATAGAAATAAAATTATAAATTTATTTAATTTTTAAATAGATTTAATGAATTTTAAGACTTTTTTTTTGTTACAGTGAATTGAAATCCAATGAGTAGAAGAGACTGCATTGAAGTTGTAGACTGAAAACTTGAGAGCAACGATCATAATCATGTACTAATTCAAGAATCCTTAATTGCCAACGTAAATTCTCAGCATCTTTCCCAGAAAATTTTACTCCCTCGTCTTACAATATACTGATATACTCACTTCCTTCCCACTTATATATAAAATATTTTTAATTAAATTCTTCATATTAATAAAATTTTATTATTTAGTTAAAATTATAATAATTTTTTAATTTTGTCCCCAATAATATCACAATTAATATTATGATATTGGTGGATATAATATACAATAATATTTCTTTCATTTTTTAAGACAAAAGCAAAATTGTTTAAATATTAAAAAATATCATGACACCTTTTATATTTAGTGACAAAATAATTTATAAAAAATATCTTATATATAAGAATGAAGGGAGCAAACCATTTTCTAAAAGTATCTCTTGATTCAAAATATAAAGTATTGAGTAAATTTTATTTTTTTATATTTATACCCTTGCTTTAATGAAATTAATGTAGTTAATGAGAGCAGTTTAAATATTTCATTCAAAAACATAAATAAAAAGGCATAGACATTTTTTTAAAAAAAATTAAGACATTAATAAACTTCTTTTAGATTTGGAGAGAGCAAGTCTTAAATTGTTGTAAATGCTATATTTATCACAAATGATAAACAACCGAGAAATCAAAGGCCCACCTAAATACAATTCCAAATTCCAACATAAAATAGCATCAACGAATTCTTCGGTTCCCCCGGATTTATCTGGCCAAAATGTAGAGCAAAATTTTTAAGATTTTAGAAAACTTCTCCCACAAAATTACCTGGTCCGCGGCACCATATTTACTTGTGTAATACCTAGTGACCATGTCAGATGATTATATATATATATATATATATTAATTGCAATGAAATGGTAGAAGAAAGAAACAAGAAATAAAAAAAAAGTCTATTTTAAAAATAAAATTATTAAAATAATGATACATAATATTTTAAAACTATTTTACAATCATTAAAATCTCAGGATTACAAGATTCAAATTGATGCAAAAATCACAATAATAAATATCTAAATGGCGGTTGCAAGCATGAAGAATCATCTATTAACTTGTTAAATTTGAACATATTATATAAGATATATGTATATATGTTTTCTTAAAACATTTTTAATCAAATCTCACCTTAATAAAATAATTATTTATTTTAAATTAATTTTATTTTTTTCAAATATTTATATTAAAATAAATATAAAACATATTTTACATTAAAATAAATATAAAATAACTTATTAAATAAAACAATTATACTTTAAAAAATTTATATTATATTTTAAATATTCAATCTTAGTGCATTTTTAACAACGGGAATATATATCTTACCTTTTTCTCTTGATTTTTTCCTCTTTTTAACTCCTAGTTCCTGTTGCAATTAAGCAATGGACTGCATTGAAATGATCAATTTTAGAACAACCAGCGAGTTAGATGAAGGATTTAAAACTTCGAAGCAACAGCCAAGATCAATTAATTCAAGTTGCAAGAATCCTCATTGCGAACGTAAATTTTCAACATCTTCCCAAAAGAAATAAATAAATAAATCTTCAGCTGCTTCCGAATTCTGTATTTGTCACTTAAATTATGGACAGAAACCACAGATCCAACTAAATAAAATAACAAATTCGACCATCAAATTCAAATAGTAGCATCAACGAATTCTTCAGATCCGAGTATCAATGGTTGAAAGAAAAATTTATTCACAACAATCCCCATATTTACAAATAGTTCTATCATATCACCACTTCCAAAATTGTTACTCTTAATTCAGTGTTGTTGATCCGAAGAACAGAGTAATTACTAATCTTCCGAAAGAAGATAAAGAGTCAGCCAAGGGATGTATCCGGAAACAGAAGCACTACTCGACTTCAACATAGGACATCATCCAGAGTCGGCTCCGCCTTGGTTGAAAGCCTTCTCGTCGTCGTAGCTGATGCGACGAAGGTCTAATTAGAGTGGTCAGTGTCCTCTTCACCAATTCACCCTCCACACCGCCGATTCTCACCAGAGAGTTCTTCATAGCCGATCGCCGAAGATTCAGACTCGTACTCGAGGATTGAAGACCAGGCGACGCCGCTCGATTCTTCTGCTGTTCGGCCAGACGCTTGTGGTAGGCGCATCGGAACGAGCCAGGGTGCGTTGTAGGGGCACACATACACATTCTCTTGTTACTCGACACCGCATTGTTCGTCTGCTTCGTCACCGACATCGACCGTCGTGGAGAAGTCGACCTATCGATAGAGAATGTCATGGAGGTTGACGTTGACGGCGTCGACGGCGAAGGCGAAGATGAAGACGGAGGCCGCAATCGACTGCCAATAAGGCTGAGGTGCGTGGGTGACGATGAGCGCGTCAAGAAAGTAGACGACCGTGGAGCGAAACTCGAAGACGACGAAGCAAACGCCGACGAAGAAGAACGCGACATCGTCGTTTTGTTTCTCGAAGGTGGAGACGCTACGCAACCAGAAGAAGCCATCCTTTAAGAGAGAGAGTGAACGTTGAAGGAGATGAGGAGAGAGAAAGAGCAGAAGCACAGTTTTCGGGAGTCAGTTGCGCAAACGGTTTTCAAGTGAAGGCAGGTTTATATAGGGAGACAGGGAAGAAGAAGGAAGGTAAGGGCATAAATGTAATTTCAGAATGGTTCCGAGGGCGGTTACTTCTCGTTGAGGTAAGTGAGAGAAGGACTGAGTGGTTGTTAATGTAGAAACAGAGGGTGGGAATGGTTTCGCTTTCCAGCGTCATAATCTATGGGTGGGAACAGGAAACTTCCTTAGTGCACGCGCCTGATCAAAAGAAAGTGCATCTCACATTCGGATTATAATAATTATACGAAAAATAAATTATTTAACCCTATGCTTAAGTTGATTACAAGCCGGTCTCTTCACTTTATAACTTGAATATAACTTATTTCTTATAGTTTAATTTAATTATAATTTTGTTTCTAAATTTTATCTCATTATATATCAATTTATATAATTTTAATTATTTAAAATATTAGTCAAATTAATAATAATTTTACTTTTTCTATCTCAATTTATAAAATAATTTTGAAGGTTTTTTAATATTTTAAAATATAAAATAATTTGATAAAAATAAATTTTGATTAAATATATTTTTCAATATTGTTACCATTTTTTTCTTATTATTAATGTTTATATTATGTAAAAGGTATTTTTAAAAAATTTTTATTTTTATTTTAAAAGATAAGATTGTAACGTATATTTAATAAATTTTTATTATATATTATAAATTAAAATGAGGAGAATGTTTTTTAAAATATAAGGATTAATATTTTAAATATATAAAATTATAAAAATTAATTTATGCTAATTTTTAACAAATTAAAATTATAGAATTAAATAATTAATTTTTTAATAATAATATTATACCGTATGTTTGAGAAATTATAATGTGAATCTTAGTATTGGGAGTGTGGGATTGATACGCGTGTGGTGAGAGTGGGGAAAGCATGACCGGAGAGGATCTTAATTTGGCGCCTTGGTTAATGCACTTTGAGGGTTTGCCACGCAAATGATTGATTTTCTACGCATTCGACATGCATATTGACTGCTGACAGTGATGTTCATTGGTTTTATGGATATTAATTAATTAGATATGATTTTAGATTTTATTCTTTTATCGTTAAATCTTGATAACAATCCTAAAATTTTAAAACTAATTTTAATTTAAATAAATTAATCATTAATCATGTGACAATTTTTTTATTTATTCCCGCATGAATGGAGATTATTTTTTGGTTGCAATTTGGGGGGCTAAAAATTATTATTAAATACTCTTGAATTTTAGAGGATTGTCATTTGATTGCAATATACTTATAAATGAACTTGTGATTTTCTTACTAAAAAATAGTATAATCCATAAGCATATTTGTCATACTTCAAAACTTAATGGGTTCAAATTTTTCTGCCACCAGTATAAGAATCTCATTAACGAGTAATTTATAAAATTTTGAGTACAGTTATAAGCACCTTTTTAAGGTAATGAGACTAGCCTTGACTTTGATTAATACCAAACTCAGCTCACCATAAAATTAATAGTAATTGTATATTAATATTAAAATACATTTGCACAAAATCATTCAAATGTCACTGGTACAAAAATTATCTTTTAATCCTAATAAAATTTACCTTTTTAAATTGGTTATTTTGAAACTAGTTTAGATATGGACAGTTTAAAAAAATTGAATTTCTTAAACTAATTATATACCCAGTCTAAAGTTACATTTTTTAAATAAAATTGGTAATCACCTCCTGTAAAAAAATGCCCCTATTATTTTATCTTAACATTAATCCTCATATAGATATTATAATAAATGATAAATTTCATAATTCTAATAATTAAATAATTAAATATGCACATTGGACAAAAAATGAAGTGAGTATACAATTTTTTTGGTATAGTACATATTTTTAATTAAATAAAAATATACATAGATTAAAAAAACTCAATATATAAATATAATTAAAAAAAGAGTAAAAGCAAAGGAGAACAAAGCACGCAGTTTTTCCCAAACATTGGGCGGTGGACGGCCCCTCGTTTGGATTTATTGTGGGCTGTCATTTCCATCTTTTTATTGTTAATAATAATATTTTTTTTATTTAAAACAATATAAAAAAGTAACAGATTTTTGTTCAATGTGATGGGCCATTTAGTTTATTCAATAAACGGTGACGTAACGTGCCGTCCCCAGATTCTGAGCATTCGACATGCGGTGCCACGTGTACTTTCTTGTTTGGCTACATCTGGATTCTGCTCCCCAGCTGGGTCTATTCTTTATTTTAATAAGATGCTAATTATCTGCTAAATGCCCAACTGGTGACTTTCTTTGAATTATTCTGTTAGTCTTCGGGAAGGGAAAATAACAGCCAGAAATTTTTTTTTAAAAATAAAGTTAAAATTTTAAAAAGAATTATTTTTTAAGATTAAAATTATTATTAAATTTTATACATTTTTAATATTCTTGTGCCAATTGCAATCCTTTTCAAGATATCACTCTTTGAATTCATACTCCCTTAAACAAATTTTAAAATTTTTTCTTAATTTAAGATAAAATTAGAGTAATTAATTTTTTAAATTTACCCCTTGATAATTTATTATTGTTTGAATTTCTAAATAATAATTTATTATTGTTATTAATTACAAGAAGGGCGAGATTATAAAGTTACACACACACATATAATAATTTTAAAGATATAATTATCATTTATTAACAAGTGTGAAGTTGTTAAAAAACATACTCTATTTGTTTAAAAATGAAAGGTATTTTTTAAGGAATTGGATGTTAAAAAATATAAAATATTTTTAGTTTTTAAGATATAATCGTTATCTTTTTTTTAAAGTGTCCCTATTGATAAAAGTGTCCCTATTGATAAATAATTTTTATTAAAAATGATTTTATATTAATAAAAATAAATATAAAAAATAATATTAGTTTGAAAGTAGGTAACTATTTTATTAAGGGGTGAGATTCGATTAAAAATACTTTAATTTTTGAACGAAGGGAATATAACTTTTCAATTTTATCCTTTTTTTAATTAACAATCATAATAAATTGTTATCTAAAAATTTACATGATAATAAATAATTAAGGAATAAATTAAAAGAAAATTAATTCCTCTAACTTTGCTTTATATTAAGATTTTTTCCCCAAAATTTATCTCATGTTAAAGATCAAAGAGAATATACATTTTAAATTTTTTATGGCTATTGTTGAATATAAATATCTAAGCACTTCAAGACAACGTGGTGTTCCAAAGGCATCTTGACAGCTTTAAAATTTAAGATTAATGGTGCAGAATGAAGTGTTTAAATAATGGCGTGCACGATGAAAAAGACAAAGTGGATAACTTTTAGACTTTTTTTTTTAAAAAAATTATTGTAACAAGGAAGTGCTGAATAGATTAAGTTTATGAAAACGAAGTTGAACATATAATCAAAAGTAGATTTTTATATAACTAAAAAATGTCCGGTTTTGGGATACATAATACATAATTGCAACCATGAAGATCTATTTTGAATTCTTTTATATGATGGGAATTGGTTGTCTGTGAGAATGGATAAGGATCATTGCCTCTTAAAAGAAGAAGAAGAAGAAAGGGATTAGGATTGATCCAAAGGTTAATTACAATGAAGCTTCAAATAAGAGAATAGTACGTGGCATGAGCTTTTGCATTGGAAAAGGCAAACTCTATCGTTGCATAGAAAATTCAATTTATTGTGGGGATTGGATTTTTCTGTTGAGATCAAAATACGTCCATGAAACACTATATAAAAAGAGAGATACTCTCTTCAGCTTTAATTATAAGACAAATAATTAAATTTTAAAGTTGCATTTGATTCTACTATAACCCCTTCTTAATTGCATCAAGAAGTTGAAAAACTTTTAATTAATATATATACTTTATTATGATCATTAATCAATAAAAAGACAAAAAGGGAGAATTACATCCAACCCCCTTCCAAGAGAATTAATTGCAAATAAAATCAATAATAAGTCCCATTCGAAAAAAATAAGTTATCTTTCCATTTTAATAACAATTCATTCCATATTAATTCTTATCTGTAATTAATTCCTTTAATAGGGGTTGAATGTGATTTTTCTTAGATAGAATTAGTAAGTCATATTTTTTTTACCATTTAAGAATATTAATTATTATTTCTTAAGACTGTGAAGTTAGTTAACTTTATTCTATAATTAAGATTGGATAAAGTATGCATTATATGTTATAAGGAAAGGAGAACTAAATATCAGGAGATTCATGCAATCATCTTGTGGTGGGTACTTTGGGGTGGGGGTAACATCATGAAAATTAACCTCCTATCAATTAGACTAATCAAAAGTAACAACGAAATATTAGTGTGGCATGTGGTTAGAGAAGACTAGTGAAAGTTTTTGATTATGTTTTTAGCCTTAGGTTATAGTTTGAAGCAAAAACAGGTCACCTAGATCTCAAAAAGGGGAGGGAGCAAGGAAGAATGACTTTGTGCCAGATGTCGCGGTATATTTGGTCATAAAACATGTAGGTGCCCTCTTTATCTTGCATGCCAAGGACTGTGTGACATGTGCCATGGCACATTTCTAGAGGAAAAAGACATGAAATAGAAGGAGAAAATAAGAGTTTAAGGGAAAGGGAGAAGGAAAACAACTAAGGCTTTGCTAGAGCTTGAAGAATTGAAGCTTGGGAGCATTTTGGGAATTCTAAACATCAAAATTAAGTTTTTCAAGCCCCTATCTTCCTTTCCTTCCTTATTTGAAAGTTTTTGAGTTAGAGTAGGTGTTGGGAAAATGATTTTCGATCCATATAGATTATAAGTCTGAATTTATTAACTTAAATGTAGTTAATGAGAGTTGTTTGATGTATTTAAACCCAAACTTTATAGGTTTACACATTTTGGTTGGCTAGCCTCATTTATGTCCAAATTGATGGCATTAAGTGTGAGTTTTGGAGGTTGTTGGATGACATTAATAACTCTAAGGGGATTTAATGGAATTAGTTAAAGTTAATGCAAGATAATGAGCTTAATGGGTAAGCTTGAATACAAAAAACAAAGACTTTGGGTATTTGAAGTCTTCAGAATAAAAGTTCAAAATTGTGTAAATGGTGATAATGATGAGTTTCGACATGATTAACTGTAGATTAATCATTCGCACGCTATTTTAGGCTTAGAAGCATTTACTTGAGGGATAAACCTTTGACTTTTTAAAGGTTTGAGGTAATCGAAAAAATATTTTTTATGTAATTATTCATAATTGATTTATGTTTTCATAAATAAATTAGTTGACTTGAACGATTAAATTTCATGTTTGTAAATATATGCAAATTAAATTTGAAACTGTTAGCCAAATTGGGTTATATATGTGGGATGTGAATAAGCATGAGATGATTATGTTGTTATACTAGCATGATGTGTCATACCTGAGGAAATTGATGATGTTTTGTGAACGCTTGTAATTGAGAGTATGTGAAAATATGTGTTGCTCACATTAGGTAGCTTGCTATTATATTGAAAACACTAAGCTTGTTATTGTACATTTGAATATGTTGATATATGTGAGCATGAATCATTGCATGATTGTTTTGGCAAGAGTTTGCTTGAGAAGAGGAGTATATAAATTCACATGGTAACTGCAACTAGTCATTGGAATCAAGAAATAGTCTTGTCTTATTGTTTGTTAAAGGACTATCCACTGTTTATTGAGAGATTTGAACCTAACTATCTTTGCATGTTTGTTGATGAGACTAGTTTGGGATTTTATGACACCTTAGAGATTTGAAAATGAAGGAAGCCATGATCCGAATGAGTGTGATGATTTTTGAATGAGTGTGACTGATTTTTGATTAAGTCACTCTTCACAATTGAAGAGCTTAGGTAGTCCATTCTTACGAATGGAGCCCTATTTGAATAATAGCCCATGATTTAAATTGAAAAGTATAAGGAAGATATAAAGTAGTTTGATCATGCATTTTATCTAACATTATTACATGATTGTTAAGTTTGTAACAAGTCGTGATATTTAATTGTTCTATTGTCACAATGTTATTATTGTGGCAATTTGCAATTGTTACATGTGAAGGTGCCATTATCACATAGTTGTTATTATTATAAAAATGTACATTTGTATGATTTAAGTAAAATGATGGTTACAATCGTGATATGGGCTAAATGAGAAATGATATGTGAAATGAGATGTCGATGTATATATACATGTTTTAATCAATTGTATGAAAAATGAGATTATTGTTATTATGTGCATGTAGTGTTTTGAACAGATTGTGCTAAGTCCATTAAAGGTCTAGGTGTTAGTTTTAGCCTTTGACACAAGCATTGGGTTTTAGACACTCTTTAATATAAAAAGTGTGAAAATGTGAGAGTTCTTCAATTCTTTTGTGTGAAATTATTAGAAAGTAAAACACATGCTATTAGCTAATTTATGTAATATATTTTCTATGAACACCTAAATCACTTTGATCAGACTTAGCACAATGCTATCAAATTCTATGTAGCATGTCGTGATGCATAGCACTTGCATTGTAGCATGTGTCACAGAGAGGTATAAGCCACAGTACACGTGCACATGCCGCAACATGTCCCTCTATTTTCATTCCCATTGATTTTTCAACTAATTTAGGTTTTTTTTACCGTCAAATGATATGCTATGGTTTGTACTTATTATACTTTATTTTTTTGACTTAATAAAGTCACTTTTGATTGGTTTTTGTAAAGTTTAAACTTGAGATCCCAATTGTTAGAAAATACACCTTCAAATTTTGAATTACTTTGAAATGGTTAACCATAATTGGGTGACCCTCTTGAATTAATTTCAAGGATTATTAGTAGTGTGTGAGTTAATTGTAAATTACAAAAGGTTCTTATTATTCTTAAAGTTGATGTAAGCTAATCAGTTTGTGCAAGCATTGGCTTCTCTAAAGTAAAGATATGTTGAGATATACCCTCTCTGCTAATCATAATATAAAACATATTTTAGAAATTTGGCTTGACTCAAAATACAAAATACTAGATAATTTTTAAAATTAATTTTTCAACCATACCCCTATTTCATTTATTACATTTTTTGGGAAAAAAATTAGTGAGATTTTAATTGTCATTAGAAAGAACTTATATATATGATATTTGGTCAAAGTATAGTTAAAAAGATATAAATGTTTTTAAAAGATTCCTGAATACTCTGAATTGCTAATTGAATGTGGTCGCTAGCATGAGCTACAGCATTCTCTTGGCATTCTAGAGCCCCCAAAATTCTCATGTGACTAGAGTTTGCCTTGCACATGATTGTTAAAATAACTCTTTGGCTAATATATCTTGTGCTTGGCTAACTTAAGACATTGATATAAAGCGACCACATCAGATAAAAGAATTTTATACTTAGCCAATGAAATTGCCAAAACCCAGTTGACAAACATGTCATCTCAAGTTAACTACATCTAGAAACAATAACTAGTGACCAAGAAAACTTCCTATGTTATTCTCATAACTGCTTTCCCCTACGTGCATAAGATGCTCTGCAGTTATTCCCAAACAAAAGCTTTGGCTATTTCTACGGCAGTAAACCAAAAAAGGTTTGTATGTCTATCAAGGACAATACTTATTAAATTAAATGCAAATAAAATATCGACTAGGTGGACAATGAGCTAATAAAAACCCAATTATTAACAAGCCTACATTGGTAAATTCTTATTAGCTCCTTGCCCCATCTAACTGTACAAGGAAGGACTGTACTTAAGAATTTCTCATTGCCCTGTGGATCCATCACTGCGCAGTGCTCAAGCAATTCCCCCAAGTCCCATATTTAGAACTGAAGCTCCCTCCACCACTCCGCTGTGCATGCTCTGAAATAACTGTACGAGCACAAACATCCCAGGTTCTTGCTATCTCTCCAAGTGACATTGGTTGTGACAAGCTTCGCAGGGATATGCTAAACCTTGACCTCACTTTTGCGGACAAATCTTCACTCTCCTTACTGATAAAGTAGAATGACAAGCTACATCACTTTATAGTTCTGGATTAAATTCAACAAATTCCTATGCAAACTTGAGCTAAACAAGAGATGCAAAAATGCACATTTTCTCACCTGGATTCAACTGGAAACTTGTCGAGGAGTTTGGGGGAACAATTGGGATAATTTGAAGGAATAAGCAACCATAGGGGTTGAATTGGTGACTGCATGATGGCAAAACATGAGCGGTACAGTTCTACAAGGGAAAAAATAAACAAAAATTAACACGCACAGTTATTGCAATTAAAAGGTTTTAAAGCCTACCATCTGCGCTGAAGTATATTGTGATTTCAAGCTTGGACTGAGAGCTACAGCAATGTAAGAACACTTGACAACGGTCCCTTCAGCCCCTGCCAGCAGCAGCAGCAGTGGGATCAACATCTTCATCACTGATATCTACGACTGTATCTATAAGTCGTTGATTAATCTCTCTTATCTCTTCCCATAGGGCATGATTAGCCTGCAGCAAACGTCACATAAGTTCATCATACTTAAGGTCGTTTAGATTACCAATCAATGACAATACATTAATTTTTTTTTAAAATCCTCTAGATATATAATGTCTTTAGAACCTTTAAATTAAGAAAATTGACTACATTTACAAATTGACTCTATGGAAGTTGTTTGAAATAAACTTGAATTAAGAATTCAGTCCATTTACACATTTTATTATTGGTCATATTTGAATATTTGTAATTACTTGCATTTCAATTGAATTGTTTTAAATAATTGGTTTTCAAAACACAGCCATAGTCATTCCCTGGCAACTATAAATATATTATAAACCTTACAATTCCAGGAGAAAACTATTATATACCTTATCTAATGAAATATCATGTTTATTAGAAGAACTTTAATAGACAATCCAGATTCCAGGTGGAGAATCCTAGTCATTACATATATTAATCGCAACAGAATATAAGATCTTACATGAGACATAAGGTTTCAAACTCAACTAACCTTAATTATTGTTGTTAAATGAGGTAGATAAAGGTTATTGGTAAACAAGAGACAAGTTATCAACCAAAGCAATATTTACTAATGTATCAGCCTAACCACTAGTACCACTGCTGTCATCATTTATTGCTGTTGCTATTATTATTTATTGTTTACTGTTATTCTTACTATTCTGTTACATCATTTAATTACATTTAAATTTTTTGAGAGCAAGGATTGTTTGAAATTTTGTTTCAATTAAAAGCAGTAATTATTCTAATTCTAATCTCATCTTTAACCAAAGGCATTAACAACTGCACCTAAGTCTCAAATAACTTAATGATGATATGTTAGAATCCAACAGCAAAGTACGAAACTTCAGTACCACGATTGAAATATGAGATTCTGATGTGGGGTTTACATGGATGTTAGGCTCTCTAACTTGGTGCTAGGTTTTGGGTGTGGTTCTTCAAAAAGGGTTTTCCCCCTTTGATGTAGTTGTTTATAACAGTAGCAAATAACTTATGTTCCAATAAAAGGAAAAGTGTGCATCAGTTAATAAGACCAACTTTGTTACTCCTTTCCCCCTTGTCCCTCTCCCTCTCTCTCCTTTATATATTCCAATCTCGATTAAATGAAGGGGTAAAGTAATGCAGACATCCAGTTGACATCTAAATACAAAATATAATCCTTGCATAGGTGCCCATTCTCATAGCCAATCAATCCTTTGTTCAGCCAAAAGGAAAGCACTGACAAAGATATCATAGAACATAAGTGAGTACCTCAATCCTTGGTTTCTTGATACTTGATGTTGCAGTTGACTCCAGATCAGAAGCCTCAGCAGCAGCAAACTGCTTGATGCTATCATTCATGCTACCACCTGAAGACGCAACATTCAAAGGCAAGGCAGTGGTGTATCGCTTCATTCTCTTGGATCCATTGGTTCCATCTTGATTAGCTACATTTCTAGCCTGAAGACGACATTTAGTCATAGCAACCAAATCCTCACCAACTGCAGCTCTGGATCCATTTCCCGGGGCTGATCCTGCTATTCTATCAATCATGCTGACAACTGAGCCAATACCACTAACAGCAGCACTTAATGCTTTAGGTGACATTGATTTTACCTGGAATAATGATTTAGACATAAATTTTCATAATGTAACTAAAATAAAAGTAGAACAATAAAGGAAAACTTTCATTATTTCTCAATGCTGGTTGAACCAATAACCTGAGGTATTGTCCAGTCTAAACATTTGTTCAGTTCAAAACAACTACAGAATCAGTCAAAGGTCGAGAAAGCTATAGGTTGTTTGACTGACCTTCATGAACAAGCCTATCCAATGGGTTGATTGGCCAATGGGTTTAATAAAATAATGAACCCAACGATTGCTCTAGACTGCCTACTTGTTCTACTGTAGTTGAGCAACAACTTATAGTGAAGTGAGAGCATTCTTTTGGTCGCACTTCATTGATGTGGGAGTTATAACAGTGATACACTCCCTTTTTGTTTTGGATTGTTAAAATTCGCAGCACACATGGATGTTTTGGACACTCGAATTCATTTAATGCAATAACAGGTTTGTTCACATTACTTCACATTATCTCAATTTCTTTTGGAAGAATTACATACAGATCTCACACAAAGAAATTAATTACTACAACATTCATTAACAACTAAATTAAATCCATTGACACTGTGTGGGACTTTAACATAATTCTCCCATTTCTTTTTGTAGTTCACAAATAAATCACAAACTTCTGTTTATATTTATCTTATTACATATATGATTTAGAATAATGTAAAGGAACACATTCTATATATCAATGAATAAGTTAAAATTCTTTAAATTTTAAAAAAATGCTATATAAAATTTTATTTAAATTTAAAATATGTAACTTAATCTGAATAAACATGAGCCAGTTTAACAATTTCAATTAGTAACCTAACAGTTGAAGTTGAACCAATGACCTGACAATGGAATCTATTCATTAATTTAACCGTTCGGTTCCAATACCTATGATCTCTCATACTGCACATAAAATTTCATAGCACTGCAATGGATCAGACAAATAAAATCAGCTGAACTAACCGCATTAATTAAGCGTTCAATAGGCTGCTCTGTAACAGTTGACTTTCCAGAACTGGGAGCTAAAGCATTGCCATGAGTCCCATCTGGACCACTAAACTCTGCCAGCAAAGGAGAGGCTGATATACCAGGAGTCCCTATGGCAAGGGATTGAGCTGGTGCTGATGCACCTCCTGTTTGTTGATGCCCAAGATTTGTAGAAGTTGTTATTGATGAAACACCAGGATTGGTTTCTCAGGATCTACTGGCATAGGAGATGGAGCCAAGGGAGGTGAAGGAGTGGGAACCACGAATGGTGAGTTAGCAGATTGCAGAGGGGTCCCAACTTTTGTGAGAGGTGGAAGAAGATTTTGCTGATCGATCTGGGGAGATGAATGTTGTGAAATCTGAGGAGATGCAGTCTGCAGGAGTTGGGGTGAAGAAACAGGAAATGGACTTCCTGGTTTCAACTGTTGATGGGGATAAGCTTGGCGTTGACTAGAGGAAAGATGTTGCTGAAAAACCTCCGGCTTAATGCCCATTCGTCGTCTCATCATATCATTCACATCATTCATTTGATGAGGCTGTGGTGCAGGGAGCTGTTGCTTTGCTGGTTGGTGTAATTGTTGCTGCTGTTGCAGGATTTGCTGCCTCTGTATCAATTGCCGCTGCTGAAACTGTTGTTTGAGATGCTGAGTCTGCAACATCTGCTGTTCCTGCTGCTGTTTCAGTTGTGGGTGTTGAAGCAAACTGGAGCTTGACTGAAGGGTATTTAGATTTGGTTGGATCACATTTTGTGTTGATATGGGATTCATGTTAGTCTGTTGGGGAGTACTGATGGTGTTTTGTTGAAGGGCGCTTGCTGGAACCTGCTGGAGGGAGTTCAAATGATTTCCTTGTCCTGAATCTAAATTGCCACCAGGTTGCATTGGATTCATAATAACCTGTTGTGCTGTCGACACACCAGGCATTGAATTGTGCTGCAAACTTGACATATTGTTCACAGAATCTTGAATATTTGTTGGTTGCAAATGAGAGTTTATTTGATTTTCATGAGATTGTGGTTGGGGAATGGAGTGCATAGAAGAGGGGGGCAGCTGTCCTTGCTGTGGCTGAGTCATGGCTTTCCTGGGCCTATTTGTACTTATAAAGTTAATAATCTGCTTCTCATAGGAACCCAATTTTTCCTTTAAACCAGGAGGAATGTTGGCCTTAGGAACCTGTAGAATTGATATAAGACGCTCCAACATTGTTTTAAATGCATTCAGCTTGGAAAGCTGCTCTGGCTTTGGTTGTTGTGGAAGGCAGTCATGCTGATATAGATATAAAAATACATATTATTAAGTTACAAGCAAATTCATAGGCAATTTCAGAAAAGGGTATAGATTGATAGTGCTCTGCACCAGTTGCAATAGTTAAACACCACATGAGAGATGCTGGAACATCACCACCACCATAATTGCCCAAAAAAAAAAAAAAAAACCTACATGGTGTTGGCACTTTCATGTTCAGAAAATCAATACGCAACATACCTGCTGAAGCTTTGCAGCAATTTTCTGGTACATTTCATTCAATTCTGGCAAGTATGTGTTTTTCATTCTTTGGATCTGTAAATTGAAACGAACAGAATCAAAACATTTAAACTATGGAGATCATCCATGCAAGTGAATTGGTTTCACAGTTGCATTCATAATATAGTCAGGACGATAAATTCTTTTTTACATTTAAGTCGATTGCAAGATATACAAGTCAAGAGAATGTTCGAAGTATTCCTGTGTTCCTAACTGGTAACAAAGTCACTTTAACCAACTAATAACATTGTCTTGCACAGAAAAATATCATTCATATCAATATATATCATCAGATTAATGATTACAAAGAGCATTTCTTGATGGGACTAATAAATGATAAAATGGGCATGATCAACAAAATTTCACTCCAGTTGTAGGCATCAGTTCCCTCTTCTGCACTACAGAGCACAGATATTTTCATGGGTCAAGTTTTTTTTTTTTTTGGCCAAAAAGTTGCAACCATTTAATCTAACTAGCATGAATTAAGGACATCAGAAATGAGTATAGAAGTTTCCATCTCTTTCCTGTAAGGTCCATGGGCTCATGCTACAAATCAGTACATCAACATAAAAATAAAGAACTCTTCTCACTTTTATTTTGGAGTTCATTCAACAAACTTCTATTGTTCCAACAAATTTCAGTGAGACATAAAATAAGGAATTGACATATTCACCTTTTCGTACACTTCTTCTCGCCAATCACCCCCATTTGATTGTCCAGTCTGTGCTGTTGAATCCAGGGAAGCTACAATGGAGATTATAATACACGTGCATGAGCATTAAGGCTCAACCAAATAAAGCAAAATAATAACTGGCATTTCTGTTATTTTATTTAAGGAAAATGAACAGATTACCATCAATCACAATAATTACATTCATGAAACATGCAAGCATGACAATATCCACCATGTAAGCATGACTTAACAAATTTTAAGAAAGACACCTCAAATTTTCTTTTGAAGATGGTTCTCAAATATTTGAAGAGCAGGAGAAGCACGTAAAATAAAGTTTGTAAGGTCAAGTACAGCAATGAGGACCTATATAGAAACCTTGCTTAAAATAGACATTGTTATACAGGCATAACTACAACATAAGTAAAGATATACAGGCATAACAACAATACAACTAAGGATATACAAACATAACAGACAGAAAGAAAAGCATAGATGGAAATAAATACTCGATGATGCTTCTGGAAGGGTTCTTTGTGATTGATACATCTGTTTTTGTTGATCAAGTACATTTTGCTGTTGAAGTAAAGGGCCAGATGCTTGAAGCCTTTGCTGCATATCTCGTTGCAAGGAATTTGACTGCTGCTGCAAACCCAATTGCGGTTGCATCTGTGCAGGCTGAGATTGAAACTGGGACATCATTTGCTGCTGAGAAGCCTGTGGCTGTTGTTGCGGCACTTGAGACGGTAACATATTTGATGTATTTTGTTGTGGCTGCTGCTGCATTGGAACCTTTGGTTGTTGCAGCATGTGATTTGAGTGTTGGGTAGTTTGCAAGCCAGAGTTACCAGAATGGGGTCCAAGCAATTGCTGCTGCTGTAGCCCCGGGACATTACTTCCCAACTGTTGTTGATGCATATTCGAGAGATTGTTTTGCTGATTTATTAACTGCTGTTGTTGCTGGTGCTGCTGCAGATTTGTAAGATTATTTTGCTGTCCAATCAACCTCTGTTGTTGCTGCACATCAACAACACCAGCCTGTTGCCCAAGTAGCTGACTGTGTTGAAGGTTTGTTGCATTTGACTGTTGCCCCATAAGCTGCTGCTGCTGTGAAGGCAACATTGGCTGTTGGCTTATTGGTATTTGTTGCTGGTGAATAATAGAATTCTGTTGCAGTTGTTGCTGCCTGATAACTGACTGGGGATGTTGCTGAAGCATGGATTGTGTTGATGATTGAACATTATTAGATTGTTGATTCTGCTGGAGGCCAGATAGAGAAGGAGTTTGCATCATGGAAGGTTGCATGACAGATGATGTTTGCATAATAGATTGCTGATTAGACTGCAACTGGTTCGGTTGTAGAAGGTTCTGCTGCGGCTGTGGTTGCTGCTGTTGCGGCTGCAGCTGCTGCTGCTGTATTTGTATCAATGAGTGTGGGTGCTGGAGCTTATGCTTCAAAAGCTGCTGCTGCTGGTAAAGATACTGCTGCGGATTCTGTGGTTGCTGTTGTTGCTGTTGGCTGACAACCTGCTGCCTTCCTGGCATTTGTCTCTGGGAGCTAGTAAACATATTCTGCCTGTTAGAATTCTGGCCAATAGTGCTCCCAACTAAATTCTGTCCGGACATGTTCTGCATATTGGAGTTCTGGCCAAGGTTTGGCAAAGGAGTCTGGCCTATATTGGCTGCAGACGATAGATTAGATTGTGGTGTGATGTTATTTTGAATATTTTGAGATAGAATCTGTTGACGTGATTGTGGCTGATGAGGCAAAGGCATTGCATGCGACTGCCCTGGATTTTGAACTTGGGGCTGAGTTAATCCTGTTCAAATATATGACCACCTAAGTCCTCTGCATATAGTGCAGTTAAAGAGAGATGCAGGGAAAAGAGATAATGGGTGTAGAAAGAAAGTGAATCCCACATACGTTTACACCATTTTATATCACTCTCTCTCCAACTATAAGATTGCATGCCTATAGAGGATTCAATTTCAAAGAAAGCGACCTAAATATAGAATGAATATCAATCAAAATCAATAAGCCAAAACAGGAAACAACTTAAATTTCATCAATGCTTAAATGAAGTCAATGTAAACTTTTAAGTTTAAAATTTCAACAGCATAAAGTTTTAAGAAAATAATAAAGAAATGAAGAAAGAGAAAGGACAAGGATTTGGTGCAGAGCCAATGGAACTCAATATATTAATGATATCTTGAGCAATAATACACAAGATTCTCTACATATAAACTACAAAGTTAATAGAAATTTATCTCCATGTGTGCAAGTTATCATTGATAACATCCATTATCACTTTTACATTAGGTCTAGAATTGCACATGCACAAAGGATTATAACTAAAAATGATGACAGAACTCAAACAGCCAAAATTACAAAAAGAACAACAACAACAAAAAACCTTATCCTACTAGGTGGGATTGACTATATGGATTAACTCCGCTAATGTTTACAGCCAATCCCAACCCAAACAAAGGAGGAGAGTTGTGTTAAGTCTTCAACAGTCAATATAAAACTTTGTTGAATCTCACATGGAAAATTACTAAAAGAACAGAATGGAAAAATCCATTCAAATGCCTTTATATATGCACATACATGTCATATATAGGCTTTGGAACCACTTAATAATATCATGCCCAAGCCAAGGCTCTAGAACCTAACCTGTATCAGGAGGTTGATTACTGGGGCCACCTGGGTTTGCTGGCATAGGGTTGTTTATGTTGTTCTGGGATTTAGTCTCCATTGTAAGCATCTTCAAAGATATTTTCCGTAGATAATCAGGCTGCAATTAGTGAGTACCATGTAATATCATCAATCTTGTATATCACCCATGTTTGCAAAGATAAACATAAATGTAATGAAATCAGTGATATTCCTCATTGTGAATTTACCTGGCTAGTTGCAGCAGTATAAATCTTCTCTTCAAACCTTTGAGCAATCTTTCGAAGCTCATGTATTCCCTCTTGAACAGAACATGGAAGATGCCTTTTCAATGTTTCCATTCTACAAATGGAAGGAAATGAAATCTTTTAATCATCGTTTTTGATCCAATGTCTATAAGCATCCATGTGTGACATATCCCAGGGAAAAAATAAAAAGAACTAGCCAAATACACAGTTTTTCCTTTTTAAAATAATAGAATTGCCCTCCAAACTATACACCAAATCCTTCAAAAGACAGAACACTGCCAACAAGCCAAGAATTTAAATTAAAATCCTCAATTAAGTCTGAAATTATCCCATGTTAAAATATCATCAACAAACTCTCTCTCTCCAACTAGAATTTTCTAGATTGATGGAGAAGCAATCAATGGCTGTAGAAATCAAGAAAACTCTGGAGACTTTAGCTGAAGCAATACAAAGGCGGTGCCAAATAAGAAAAATCCAGAAGGCTGTAAATGTATTGATAACAGACCTATTAGCACTATAAATAGATGAAGTCAGATGTTGTGGTGTGTGGTAGAGTGTGAGGAGAGAAGAAAGAGAGAGTTTGCACAGAAAAAAGTGTGCAAGTGTGAGGAGAGAAAGAGAAACTAAGAGAAGTATGAAGGTGTAGTGCATCAAAAAAGTTGAGTAGCGAGAGAAAAAGTGTGAGAGTGAGTGACGTGAGGAAGGAAGAGAATAGGGACAAAAAGAGTTTGTTGGTGTAAATTGTAGTGTGTACTTAAAATAGAAGTTATTTTTTAGTTCAGTCCCTCCCTTTCTCCATCCTCAACTCCCAACATCCCAAACTTCAAATTATAAACCCTAATACTCAAGTTAAAATTACATCATAAATTAATCAAGTAAACGTCCTTTACTTCATACTGCAATGAAAGATCTCTTCCTTCCCAACCTGTAAAATAATGATACAGGAAGTGCCTCCACTTCTGAGGACAACCCAACAGTCTAGGCCTGATGAATCATACAATTAAGTTTTTACCCAAAGATTTTATCATTTCAATATATTTGAATGCAGGTGCAAATGTTAGGCAAACATCAAAATCATGTGTTTCTTTTTTCACATGTAGTAATGGTCATGAGACAAACTACTGACAATGCTTCATTTTATCTTAATCGGTCTTAGTCACCTACAAAGCATGGGTACCATTGGAAAGGTAACGCTCAAGTATGAACTTAGAATACAACATCAAGAAAGTCAATATTCAGAAAAGATCAATAGGAAAACATTGGTTTGGTAGAATTGGCACACAAAAAAGTCATTAGTTTGAAAAACAATGAAGAAGTTATTTTATTGTCCATTCAGTCACTAGCTTTATATGAATAAGACAATTAAACAAAGTGCCAACACGTGTCTATACTAGTTCTTCCACCACACATTTATTTATTTATCTTAAAGTTATTTAGATATCGGAAACACAAGGAACCTCAAAAAAATGTTGTCCATTTATGGAATCAATCATTAAAATTTTCTTTTCCTTTTTATTTCACAGATATTAATAACGTGCTATAGCTTGTAGATCAAAACTGTGACTCATGGAGCTATGATATGTCCAGGATCGCAATGCTCATATATCTCCGACACTGCTGATCTACAGAAGCAACCTTTTGTAGTAGTAGGCTCTATATATAAACAGAGCAAATGACACAATCTTTACTTCAAGTGATTTTGCAAAGGCTGTCGCTAGAGAATTAGTCAAACCATGCTCGGACAATCAGAATTGGACACTCCAGTACTCATCATATATCATAAAATTAAAAGATATTATTAATAATACCATCAACCCAATCATGTTGAAAGATATTAATAATAGCAACAAGCAGTTTTGGTTGGCAAGGTAGATGAACTAAATAGTGAAGAAAATTATCTTGTATTTGAAGGTGATGATTTGACTTGGAAATGATGTAGCTTTAGCTCGTGGAGCTAAGGAGCCAACAAAATGTTTGATCATCATCCACATCCACTTAATTGACAGAAAAGGTAATAAAATCCACCTCTAGTGCTTTTGACATGGTTGATGAGCTTACAAAAACCTTAAAAGATGAAAAGTAAATTGAGCAATTACCTGATGATCATTGTTGCAATAATCAATTTGATAAAGAGGAACGGGTTCCTTTTCGGCCAAAAAGAGGATTAGGTTTAGAATTAAGACATCACAAGATAAAGCTAGACTCATAAATTATTAAACACAATGTGTTTTATGATTAGAGTATCTGATGTTGTGATTTATCATTACTATGATCTTTTTTTCCTTTTTAATGAGTTTGGTTTATATAAGTCATTATCAATTATGTTACAATATATTCTTGAATTTTTTAGAGTTGAGGACTACATGAAAATGCCCATGCAATGTTGTGGATTTCACACTAAGCATTTTGCAACCCTTGGGCTACACGAGTGACAAAGTCAATAACTATGTTTGGTACATGACAAAGGGGGGGAAAAACTAATTCAGTTCAACTCAGCAATAGAATATTAGAACCGAAACATACATTTTGTTGACAATTCTTTGGCGTGATTCAGGTTGTAGTTGAGCTCTCCAATCATTTTTATCCATAGTTGGTTCAGTGCCTTGAGAAGGTCTCCAATTATTGGTATCCATCAAATTTAAATTAACTGAATAACAAAAGATTTTCAAACAAATCAGATTATATAAAGAAACAAATATAAGGGAGCAGATGTGTACAAGAGAGATACAAGAATAATTGATAAAATTGTCAATCTTGAAATGAGAAGTAACTCTCATAGCATGAATAAAGGTTTAAGGTTAAGCTCAAGACCTTGTGGAAGGGTATTGAGTCCCTTTCGACCCAACCACTTTTAGTTCCTAATGTCTACCTCAAAATCTTCACGTTAAAATACTTTTCCCATTTTTCCTATTCCCATGTTCGAGGATTTCACCTATTCCCACTTTTTTCTCTCCCAAATCCTCACACCTTAGCCTCTTCTCTAGAGTTCTTCACTTTGGGATCTATTATACCTAAAAATTAAGATTAATTTCAATCCGTCACGTATCATTGAAATTATATTGGTTTTTGACAATTTCTACTTTTCAAAACTCGTAGTTTCATAATGATTAACATTCAAAGATCTCGACTTTATATCCCCCTCTACCTCTGGATCGTTAGAAGCACCCCTCCTTCCCACCCGCTCTTCGATTGAACAGTAACTTCTCATGATCAATCCAGTACACTTCAGCAAACCTACAGTATTCTACCATGCCAAGCAACACCAATAAAGAAGCAAACATCGAAATCGAAAGAGAGAAATCTTTCACAAGCCAAAGTGCCAAACAAAATAAATTAGACACAATCAATTAAAAAAAAACGTATTCGTCCAATGAAAAAGTCACAAACCAAGAAAAAACGACGATGAGCCAACTGAGCAACAACCGAAAGAGAGAAAGGGAAATCTTCCGGCAGTGGCTCACGGTGGCATGGCTGGTGGAGGTGATTATAACGACCTGAGCCCACGTCGGAGCTTAGATTGAAATTCTGCGGGCGAATTCAGGCTGAACTTCTTGTCAAGTGGTGCAAATTGAATTATTTATAAAGGCTTCAGAGAAAGTAACTTGACCGGTAAACAAAATTGGACATATTTTCATATTGCCCCACCAAAGTAGAAGGTCTAGTCCTTCAAAATCAGATGTCATTTTAATTTCCCTTTTTTAATTATTTCAAATTTCATTAATAATACTAATATTGATTATATGAATGCGTATTATGATTTGTAAAACAATATTTTGAATTGGTAATCATGTTAATGAGACTTTAATTTGAATGAAATGTTCAAAGCATTTACAATTTGTTTATGTATTCAATCTCTAAATTACGGCAATACAATAATTCAAACCATACTTACTTATTAACATTAATTTTTTTTCTTATTTTTGAGCCTTGTATCTAAAAAATAAAAAAATCATCATATTTACATATGATTTATGAATTATAAGAATAAATTATGTGACACGCATGCCAACCTCATTGTAAGGGTAAGTGTGTTGTTGGATGTTATATACATATTAGATATTTTGAGCTCACATACATACGTATATTTTGTGGGGAATGTAATTAAACTTTTAGGTTAAAAGACTTTTATGCCCCTCCTTATTAAAACAAAACAAAAAACACCAATAGATTGAAGTTATATTTACCTTTTATTTACAATTACAACTTTATAATTTACAAGTAAAAATTTTTAATTTACAAAATATATTTTGTAGTTTATAAATATTAAGCTGAAGTCATATTTTTTTTACTTGTAACAGCAACTTCACACTTTACGAATAAAAATTATTAATTTACAAATCATATTTCATATTATATAAATAATGGACTGAATTTATATTTATCATTCAATTACAATTATAACTTCACAATTTATAAATAAAAATTCTTAATTCATAAGTTACATTTAATATTTTATAAATACAAATACATATTTTTTAAAGATATAATTTAATGTATTTTAACAAGAATAATATTGTCTTTATATTTTAATTACAAATTACATTTAAGTTTCAATGAATTTAGTTATAATTTTTAAATTTTATAAAATTTATTTATAAATAAATTTATAATATAAGACCTCAGCATAATTTTTCCTTCATCTTATACTTTAAATCTGCTTCCTTTTGATGAAGAATTATTTAAAAGGCAAAAAAAAAAAAAAAAGCTGACAGTAATTAATGTATTGAATGGAGCACAGGACATGCCCACATCTGTTCAATGAACCAATAGAGATTGTACTCTTCAGCCATGATAAGATAACTATAATACTTGGCAAAATATTTAGAAACATATCCATGAGAGGTTTTTTTTAATAGTCCAAATTTACCATATAGCTGTACATTTTGCGTGATAATAATCCAACATCTAGCATCTAGAATTATTAACTAATTCATATTCAAATATTTCTATAATGTTTGATTTAGGGCCATTCGTTTCATCTTATTTTATTAACAAAACATGTATTTTTTTTAAATCTATTTGATGAGTTGGATATTTATTTAAATTTTTTAAAATAATTATTAGAATCTAAAAAAATAAAATTTTGATTATTTTAGGACCTTTTTGTTAAAAATTAAAAAATAAGTGACTTTCGGATAATTTAAAATTTTTCTAAAAAGACATTTATTTTGTAAATTTTTTATAAAAACATACCTTATCTTATATTTGTTTACAATAATAAAAAGCAATTATTAGTTAGCTATTTTAAATTTTATAATATTATTTAATTATTTTAAAATTTTATGATATCTTCATGTATCCCATTTTTTTAAAATATTCTCTCATCTACTGTATTAGATTATTTTTAAAAGCTACGCAAAATAACTTCTTGAAATAATAGCAAATATGATTTTTTTTTAGATTCTAATTATTTACAAAAGTTTAAATAAATATCATAAAAACTTACAAAATAAATTTTTAAAAAATATTTTTCATAAAATAAGCTGAACAAACGAGCCCTTAATAAGCTTTTTTGAGAAACTTTTAAAAATAATCTGATGTGATAAATAAAAAATATTTTTAAAAAATGAGATATACGAAGATATTATAAAATTTTAAAATAATTAAATAATTAATTATTTTTGTAAGACAAAAATCAAAAGGTGGCTCAATCATGCCTGAGCCAATCAAGATAGCTGAGCTGAGCTTCAAGCTTTATTTTTAAAAAATTTAATTATTCCATAATGTTATTTTATTTAATTTTTTTATGTATTATATTATTTTTTATGTTCATCGGGTTAGGGTGAAGCCCAACCCAACCTTACATGTGTACTCCCGAAGATATCATAAAATCTAAAACTAACAAATTGATATTTAGTTTTTTATTATTATAACAAAATATAAACTAATGTTCACTTTTTATAAAATCTATACAAAATAGATTTATGTTTTTTTGAATTAGAATAGGAGGCCCTAATAGTTTGATCGCTTGACATTACAAGTAAGATTGAATCCACAACCTTCCACTTACCAGGAACATATATGATAATAGGCTACAAGGCCATTGACTTTTTATAAAATTTATAAATCATTTAAAAATTACTTATTTTTTTAATATTAAACAAACAAACCTTTTTTTAACTAGAAATAAATCTAATTGAAATTGTGATTAGATAAAAATGTGAAACTAGACTGGGCTATAAGAGGGAGACCCAAAAGCTTTCTTTTCTTTTCTTTTTTTTTTTTTTTAAGAAAAACCCAAAACCTTTTCATAACATTGAAAAAGAAATTCTTAAGTTTATAAGTTACCAAAAAAATGAGGCTTCTTTCAACTTTCAATCATGTCAGACCAAATGCAAATGGCCAATTTTTTATTAAAAGTGCTTTTTAAAAAAATAGAAAAAGAAAAATCTCCAATCACTAGTTACAACCATGCATATAGATCCATTTGCAAGTGGAGAAGTGTTGAAAGAATTAGATTCTTTGTTCGGATGGTCTTTCATAACAAATTACCAATAATTACTTGGAGGAGTCACTGGTCTCAATGTTTACTTTTGTGTGATTGGTGTCAAAAGAAGTGGAAAGTGTTTTTCATATTCTTAAAGACTGTACTTATACATTTCAAGTATAGTTGAAGTTTTTTTCATTCTAGATTTAGAATTTAAGTCTTGTTTGGTTGGTTATAGAAATCTTAGCCTATGGAATGATAAGCATGTCTCAATTCCCATCTCATTCATGTTTAGTTGCTTGTAAGAGACATAAAATAGTATGTCTCAAGAATGTGAATTACTATATTTTTAAATTTAATTCCTTGTGTATCATATTTATATATTTTTCTTTATTTTTACTTTTACAAAGTAAAATTTAAATTTAAAATAAATTTTTTGAAACACGTTCACATACGTATGTGTGTAGGTACATATAAACCTTTGAAAAACTTTTGAATGTGTTCGCAGTCTTATTTAGCCCAAACAAAATGGAAAAAAAACAAGTAAATCCATTAAGACAAGAAAAAGGTGGTTGTTACCTCATTATGGTAAAGGTATTATGATCTGTATATTTTAATTTATATTTAAACAAATAATATATATACATATATATAAACTTTATTCTTACTTACTTAAATATTTTACCAAATAAATTTATAGCCATTATAATTCCATTCCCCATCATTCCATTTCTTTCCATTATCTCATTTTTTATGAACCAAACGTGATCTTAGTTCTTTTCTGCTTCTCTACCTGATTGGGTTTCTTTGAATTTAAAGAAGATTGTAGAAGTTTTTTATCTTTTGACATGACCTGATTTGGTCCTTTTGCATGGTTTTTTTACCGTAGCTTTGTATTAAAAAAAAAAAAGAATATGGGTGAAATTGTTATTATGAGAACTATAAAGAACTTTAATATATGCTATGATCCTTTGAGAATGGATAAATTGTATATACAAAGCCTTAACATGGCTTTCACCTCCATCCCAATAAGTAAAGTTAAATGTTGATGAGCAATGTCACCTAAAAATAATTTTGTGGAGGATTTGAGTTTTTCTCATATTGTGTTAGAATCTAAATTAAAGGTTTTGGTTAAAAAATTTAAAACCCTACATCAACTAATACTACTTACAGTTTGGTGTTTCTTTAAATTAGATGGGTATTAGCTTTACAATGACAAGTCAAGTGCAATATATGCCTAGGGAGAGCAATATTATTGCAGATGGCTTAGCCAAAACATGCATTAAAAAAAAAATTGAATCTTATTCCCAAGTGAAAATGGATGGTACAACATTGAAGCATGTAATTTTTTTATTTTTTTTTGGGTAATGAGTTTGTAAAGTTGACTATGCCTGACCTTGTTGGGAGTGTCCTCTGTGGTCTGGAGTCAATGTGATACGAGAGATAGAATCAATGTTAAATAAGACTATATCAATAATCAATAAATTGTGAGAAAACTCATAGGTAATACATGGCCTTAGTTTGATTCAAGAGCTTCACAGTTTCTACAACACCCTTCTATCAGGAAGTTGTTCAGAGGCAATTTTACAGTAAACTTGATATAGCTTGTTATAGAATTTATATTTTATACTGATATATTGATGATGGTATACTCAAAATAGATTTGTTAAGCCATGTTTGGTGGTAAAATTGTCCAGGCTAAAACGCAAGTACCCGACATACCTGCAAAACTTTATCAGCGATTATCCGGTGCATTTTATTCAATTCTGTCAGGTACATTTCCTTAAGAATTTGGATCTGTATGTTGAAAAAAACAGAATCAGATAATCAAAATATTTGAAACCCTGAGATATCCAAAATAATCAGCACTGTTTCACTCAGCCAAATGTTACTATATAATTTTTCCATTCAAGATGTTTACACTCAAAATCATCGTTTAAATTGCTCACCAATAAAACAGTCAAGAGGATCTTCAATACTTAATTTTTTGGATTTATTTGAATCTTGTCTGCTGCTCCTTCAAATTTCATTGAGGACATATAGATGATTAAAAAGATGTCACATTTACCTTTCCGTACAGTTCTTGGAATTCCCACAGAGAGTCTATTTGATTTTCATTAGAGCACACTTGTGTAGGTTGGGAGTGTTGCTGGGGCATAGCACGGGAGGCAAACCGTCCTGGCTGCATAAAATACATTTTCCAGGGCCTACTTGCATTTATAAAATTTATGATCTTCTTCTCATATGCAAATAGGTCCTTCCTGTAGACAGGACTAAACTCCACTCCATTAGAAAGTGCCATGTAGGATGAAACAGTCTGAAAAATTCCTTTAAAGAAACCCAGAGCTTCATGTTTATCCGACTCTGCTTGCTGCGAAAGGGAGTCTTGCTGATTGAGTGAAACAGATACAGGGTTAAAAAATGATATAACTTATAAATCAAACTAACTGGAAAGCTAGGCAAGTGAGTCAAGCCGATAAAGATGCAGAAATATATGATTATACCAATCAGTTCTAAGCACACTCATAGGAAATAACAGGCTTTCTTTAAGGAAAAAAAAAAAAAAAAACAGGCTTAGCACACATTGCAATGGATGAACAACATATATGTCACTCCAGGTTTAAGAATCATTATTCCCACCATAATATCAAGAGCAAAACTCAAAAAGGACAGTTATTCATCAGTATTGTCAACTTTTTGTTTAAAAAGAGAGAGAGAGAGAGTACGTAACATACCTGCTGAACGCCACTAGCATATCTGAGGAACATTTCAGTCAATTCTGGAAAGTGTACTTCTGTCAACATTTGGATCTGCAAGTATAAAGAGTAAGAAAATCAATACGTTTGAAACCTTGAGCTCTGCCCCACAATTAAATCTCTATCGCTGCAAGGGTAAGTCAAGGTAGCAAATCATTGAGCTTAGTGCTATAATTTAAACATGTCAGAAATGTAAAATTATACATGAAGGGAGTAGTCTCCTAGAGAAAGAGGAAAAATAAGAAAGGGGAAAGGGAAGTAGCCATATCCTATAACTAATTCCAACAGAGATGCTGAATGAAGCACAGAATAGACAGAGAACCAATGAATGTGGGAAGGCAGTGGACGAGAGCCTCGCTTATTAGGTGATGAGGGCATCCTTCCTCATAGGAGATAGGTGGATATGACAGTTCACAGTTCAAAGCAGAAGGAAAATTGCAGGTTCAGGCAACTAGACTTTCCTTTGTTGTCGAGGTGATCTCATGGGCTTGGTATCTCAAGTGGTCTGTTGCTCTTTCTTGAAGGAATGCTGGAGGAAGAAAAGTTAGATGCCATTCTCACCAAGAAAAAAAGAAAAAAAACAAGCCCTTGACGTCTGAACATGGGCCAGAGCTCTTGAATAAAGAGTATCAATGGAAGTAAGTGCCTAGAACCCAACAAAGTCATGGACTGAGCTCAAGCACAACCTTATCCAGCAATTTCATCATTCATAATGCAGTGATGCCAAAAATATGTTGACGGCATTTTGTTTGGTAAAAAAAATGTTGCTGACATTAAGGCCAGCGACTAAATACAGAAATGCTTCAGAGCATCATTATTTAAAAAGAAAATCTCAGATGAGATGTTAGCAGGCGTTTTCATAAATGGGCTAAAGGAGGAGATAAGAGCTAAGATTAGCAAGTTCAAACTCGGGGATTTCAGATGCTTGGATCCCATGCATTCACTAAAGTGCATGTATACGATGTGCTTAGATGTGTTTAGAGAGAGACACGGAAGAATAAGTTGATAATCATACGTGGTCTCTATATACAACCACATGCTCGTGTCATTGTCTCTCCGAATGCATGAATATATTAAATATAAACACTCCAATTTAGAGTTCCAAGAGCTGATGATAAGACTAAAAAGCCCATCTATTACACTGGATTCAAAAGGCACTATTACCACTATATTCTTTTCAGACCACCATATAAGTCATAGTTAACTAATTCACAGTTTATGAATAATGTTAGTTGAAACCTTAAATTTTTAAAAATACCCACATCTTTTCAATTATATCTTCATTGAATACTCTAAATAAGAGTCTCAATAATAATAATTAAAATTCAATGCATGATATTTTTTAAAGTAACAAATAAAGTAGGGTATAATTGAAAAAATAAATATAAAAATTATTCAACACCCTATATTTTGGACCAAATAAAGTTTTTAGAGAATGTCTTATATTGTGATCTGGATGGAGTAATTAGCGAGAAAAAAAAGGACAGCCTATTCCATTTGTAATTTTAACACTGTTAACTACAACAAATAAGTCTCTACGTAAAAAAAAAGAAAAAAAAAACTACAACAAATAAGTCCCTAACATACCTGCTCATATCTTTGAGCAATTATGTGGTACATTTCAATCAACTCTGGCAAGTATACCTCCTTGAACATTTGGATCTGTAACTTGAAATAAACGCAATCAGAAATTTAAAACATTTGAAACTTTGAGATCTATCTCTGCAGCAATTATATACCTCTTTCATTAACAGATCTGTCAAGTTTACAAAATCTTTGGGCTTGAAGTTAAGATCGAACACTGACATAAATGAGTTAATGGAATGTCCATAATTTTCCTCAAGGGGATCTTGAATACTACTTACTTTTGGGATCATTTTAAGTATGTTCGGCTGTTCTACAAACTTAATAGAGGAAATAATAAAAAATGGCACTCACGTATTTCTTCCGGAAATTTCCCTGAAGATATCGTATAATGCACACGAGTAAATATCACTCAAATAATTAAAATAAAATGGTATTTTTCATTAGCTAATTTAAAAGGAAAAAAAGCAGTTAAGTCTATTATAAGAAACCGATACAAAAAATATTATTTCACCAATCACAAAAATACCTTTACATGAAGCAACATAAAATATTCTCACTAAATAATTAATATATGTTAATTACGAAGTCACCCTCAAGTAACAGGCTGGAAAGTGTAATCACAGCTTTGTCGAGGGAAATAGGAATCGCCAATTTTCATTAAACATCAAGATTCATTCTTGTGACTTCTATCTTTTACTATTATAACACAAATGCACAAAATCTTGCATGCTAGTTGAATCAATAATATAGAGTGCAAAATCAAATTTCCCTAAGATTAATTGGAAAATTAAAGAATTGTATGGTTTCATGTATGGCAGTCAAATAAATAGAAACATTTTGTCGGCAAGAGAATATAAATGCATGAAGCAGCAGTGTTTGAGCTCTTTACGAACTATTTCACACCTACAAAACCTCTAGTTCAAAAGCCTTGGGGGAGAAAAAGCTCCAATAATTAAAATATGAAATAGGCTAATAATGAATTTAATGCCATAGAGTTGAACATCAAGTTTAGAGTCTTACTTTGCATTTCAACCTTCTTTGAAATTATTTTCTGCACATAATTCAACTGAAATTTGGAATATTAAGGAAATAAGTATAAGGCAATCCATATAGTGGAAACCAAAAACAAGAACCAAAACGAAAAATAGAGCTTCCCCACAACATTTTCAGCCTTATAAACTTAAACGTGTCTATACATATGTAACTTGGAAGATGATAATAACTTCATAATTTGAAATATGAGCATGCCTTACTTGTTGCACCAGCAAAAGTCTTCTGCCCAAAACTTTGACAAAATTTTTCAAGTTCTTGCAGTTCGTCTTCATCAAAATCATGATATTCCCTTATATCATTCATTCTACAAAAGCATGATATTCCCTTATACGCATACCTTTTAAAGCAACTACAGCGTCAAAGCAAAAACTAAAGTATTACAGAATGAGATTTAGACGTACATTCTTTTGACAGCTCTTCTGCGGGAGCGAGGTTGCACATCATGTCTCCAATCAGTTGTTTCCATAATCGTGCCCCGACTAGTGTTCTCCAACTATAGTTACCTATCAGATCTAACTCAGGTCCAAGAAAATAAAGCATTTAAATAAAGTCAGTCTTTACAATGAAATATATAAAAGGGGATGGTAAATGTAGATGAGTCAATGCAAAAGCAATCAACGGAAATTCTTGTTTTGCCTAGGGCTGCATGAAAGACTGGATAGGATTGAACTTTGGTCTAACCTGAAGTTTAGTCTCTTTTATGAAAAGAATTAGGTTAAGTAACCCGTAGTTTGGTCGAGTTCAGTAATAACTCAAAGATTAATAAGACCGAACTTGATTTATAGAATTGAGAGACTAGTCTTATTAGTCCAACACTTATTTAACTTTTTCCCCGTTTTACCTCTATGAGAGGCAATAATCAATTCCAACTTAATAAACTCAATTAAGATAATTAAAACATTTATAATTTCTAACAAGAAGAAAAAAATACTTCAATTATAATCCAAGTGATCCAAATTATTAAATTATTAGTTTGGGTGTGCGACTATGTAAGGAACCAAACTTATTAAATTATTATTAGTCTTAACTTATTATTGTAAATAATTAATAAATTAATTATAATCACATTAAATAAATTTAATAGAACCAAACTAGACCAAGTAGTCTAAATGCCAAATCTCCTATCTAGTCAAACTTAAAGAAACAGTTTAATCTTTTTAGTCCTGAAGGACCGAATAAAACCAGACCTTCTCGAGTTAGACTAGGTCGAACATGATTAGAGAACTTCTGTACAGCCCTAGTTTTGCCCATTGCCACAGATCCAAACTGCTTGTTTCAAATTATTATACATTTTATCTTCACATTCTAATGGCACCAATAAAATAGACTCCACACGTAAAGCAATTAACTGAAAGTAAATGACCCTGCGTGAAGGGGGAACTTACAAGAAAATTAACCTCAGCAATACAATATAAAAATGATTAAAAAAAAGAAAAAGAACTACAAAAGGCTAAGCAAGCGAAGACAAACTTTTTTTTATCCATTATAACGAGCCCTTTCACCATAAAAGGTTGTCTATTAAAATCAATGAAGATTTCATCACTTCCCCTTTCCCCCTCTTCAATCAGATGGTTAGCTGGTTTATTAGCCTCAATGATTTCAAAACGCATGCTGAGAAATTTCTTTCAAAACATACCGGCCTCTAACTACTTAGCCTGTGTTTGGATTGAGGGATTAATCGATTTTAGGGGTAAAAAAATCGATTAATCCATAATTTACCCAAACATCCACCTTTTTTCAAAATTGATTTTTTCCCAACCCTCCAAATTTCAGCTTCTCGGCGTGCTTTTGTTATAAAGTTATATGAGTAAATTACATAAAAGGTTCAGGAAAACAATCACAGAAAAGACACAAAATTTAATAAAACTAAAACAAGATTTTTTTTTCTTCTTTTTCTTCTTAATAAAATTTGAATCTTTACAAAAATTATTATAACATAATTAATTATAATTAAAATTTATCATTTAATCAATTATTTTTTATAATTTATTATGCATTCAAACCGCATTTATATTCTAAGAAGGTAAATAACCCAATACCATTCCTCCATTCAAAACGAGTATCCCAGAACAATCATTCTTTTAGAACCATCCCTTTCATGACAGAGCAATCAAATATTCAGTGAAAAGTGACTAGATCATACCTTAGACCACTCCTATGTGGGAGGAAGCTGAAGGTGAATGATCAGATGATCGAAGCGGAGAATGCAAGACGACGATGTTTCGGACTGATGGCTAGGGCAAGGGGTGAGCGGACATTCAGGAAATGATAGTAACAGAAATCATCTTCGACTAAGAATCAAAAGACGCCACGATCATCAGTTCAGAATGAAAAGAACTCATTGGTACTACTTCCAGTTTAAATAGAAGAAACTTCAACTTCACGTCTTCCCATAGTTTGCTTTGAGAAGTCAAATATGTGAGTTCCAAAACTATCATCATTTTCACTGGCTTCCTCGTCCCCAGCTATCCTACACCTACGCTTGAACTTGGTTGGATATGGGCTCGGCAGTTGGTAATTGGTAGTATTACTTGCCATGT